CAGGAGCTCCTCAGTTGCTCATTCCACCATTGAATTTACAATGACTTATGGGTAGAAAAGCCATACTAAGTAATTTACTACACTGAAAAGTCTTTTTACTGTTGGGCCAATCTGTGGAAGTGAGTTCATTTCTAGGCCCAAAGAGTAAGCTGGGGCGAGACTCTTTTTTTTTTTTCAAGGGCAATGTATGGACTTTATTTATATTCTGATTCTTTTTATTTTTTATTGTGATTTGGGTGAAAGTTTACAGAGCAAATTCACTTTTCATACAGCAGTTCACATACACTTTCTTTCATGACATTGACTACAATTTACCACAATGCAACAGCTTCCCTCCCACTTCCCCCTCATAGTTACCTTTTCCCGGTGTCCTTCCCTCCATGTACTCCTGCCCCCTGAGCTGTCTTCCTGTGCATACACAGCCCTTCTATTCTCCCATGACTGTTCTCTGCAAGGAATATGTCTGCCTAATGTAAATGTTCACGTCTTATACCTGTCTTTTGTTTGGATGGAAGCCACAGGAGTGGATTCAATTCCAGACCTAAAGGGCAACTAGGGGCCATAGTTTAAAGGGTTCCATCAGGCTCTAGCAAACTTGGTCCCTTTTTTTTTTTCCCCAAATGATTTTGAGTTTTGTTCCACTTTGTTCTCCTCCTCTATCCAGGATCTCCTACATAGATCCCTTTCTGAGTAGTTGACAGTGGTAGCTGGGCACCATCTAGTTCTTCTAGTCTCATAGTCATATAGGGTGAGGATCACATGGTATACCAGTTGCTTGGACTAATTTTTTCCATGAATCTTTGGTTTTCTTCATTCTTCTTTGCTCTGGATGAGGAGAGACCCATCGTTGCATCAAGATGGCCGCTTGCAAGCTTTTAAGATCCCAGTCGCTACTTGCCAAAGTAGGATGTAGAACAATGTTTCGTGTAGTATGTTATGCCAATTGAGCTTGATGTCCTCTGCAGCTATTGTCCCTAGCCAACAGGTGCAACTACTCACCCCCTCTGGGTATCTGGCTGTGCCCAAGAAGTGACTACAACCTTTTCCCTTGTCAACTTTACTGTATACCTGGGAATTCTTACAGAACATACCAATACACTT